GGTTTATGCAAGAATCGAGACTTTTCTGCTTTGGCATCTATTACAGGAAATAATACATTAATTCTAGCCAGACAGAGGAAATGTGATTCTGTTCACCCACTCCTTGATAATTTTCACTTAGTTTACCATTCTTTACTGTCACCTTGATTAACATAGTCACCAGCTTGGGGATAATTAAATTTGATACATTTGACTAGATAGACAAACGTATATTTGAAGCTAATTTGTTGTTTGTAAGTTTAGAGCCCTTCAACACAATTCATTATTAAACAAATAAAGCAATATTTGATCACTGCATGGACACTGCATGAAGTGATGATACAATATGTTACCATGATACAGCCTGTATTCCCAACATACAGATATTAAGTATATAGCTAAAGGATAAAAGTAATTCATTTAGACAATTTGTCCAAAAACTCAAGCCATTCACTGCATCAGACAGGAAAGCAGTGTGTTCAGGCATTGGCTTCCAAGAGCTTTAGATTCCCATGGACATTCTGAACATATCTGAACTTAATTGTAACATTTGTTCTTGGTGTGTTTGCCAATCAGCCTTCGGTCATCCAGAGTATCAAACTACTAACCTTTGCTGTACATACTCTGTAATGACTGCCTGTTACTAATTTTTTTCTTTCATAGTAAGACAATTGCCTAATATGTATGCTCAGTATTGTTTTAAGACCCATGCCAATGTTGAAGTTGCAAGCCAGCCACTTTCAACATGAGCTGATGTTGAAAATCAAATTGTCACCCCCTTTTCTTAAAGTTAATAAAATCTGGGATGTAGATTTAGATTGGCCACAGCCAGACATATTTCTTATATACCACCATATTATATTTTAAATTACCCTTCACCCTGAACAAATGTGAAAATNTTTTTCACTTATTTGCATCTTTATTTTCTGTTCTTTGTCTGTACATTTGACAGCTTTGCTGCCTTGTTTTATTGAAGAGTCAAAATGAATTACATGTAAATAATGAAACGAAATAAGCTACTAGGTGCACTGGCATTTGCTTTTGTGTACAGTATGTGTTAAATATTTTATATAACATGGTGATTCTGACATTAAAAAAAATCTTCATTATTTCCCAGAGTTTGATGGAATTGAAATCCACTCCAAGGTTGTGTTCAACAAAAGGGAAGATATGGGGAGCATTCAGCCAGATTCAGATGAGGAAGAACATTTAGGTCCCATTGTAAGTCCTAAAATTTCATATTCATTTCTTCTAAATTTCTTCTCAGAGATTTCTTCTCAATTGCAATCCTTCTAAAATCTCCTTTATTCTTTAGAATATATGAAATACATTTACATTGATGGACCTAGCTAAAGGCTTAGGTAATATTTGCAGCTTTGATGTATTATTCAGATCCTTATTAAATATTTCTTTTAACTTACAGTTCAATGCATTGTTCTTAATAACAAACTTACAAAGTGATAAGTTTTCATATCAGAAATATATGAATAAAAGATTTTAGGACTTAGTCAGCTAGACAGGTTTTATTGGAGGGAGGGCTTTAGAACAGCACAAATAGTAACACAAAGGGATGTAGGTCAGAATAACAGGCGCTGCATATTGATAACAATGTAAATATGTCATTCTTGATATCAATGTGACATTTAGAGCATGTGATAGTGGTTCATTGTGTGAGATCTAGGAGGTGGGTAATGGCAGGATTGAATAGTGTTAGTTAAGTTTATAATTCAGGGGATGGGGACTACTCTAAAGGGAGATTTTACAGATGATTAAACTGACATACTAATTAATTTACAAACATAGATGTTATAATGGATCACTCTGTATATGTGCCCCGTATAGTCACACATGGAATTTTACAGTGATGCTAACGCTTGTGCTCTTTGAACTTAACTGTCATATGATTTAAAAAAAAATTATATGCCTTAGCTATGTTAATTCAAGAGAACTCTTAACTGCTCTAGTAATGGGCTGCACGTATGTGATGGCTTTGTACTTTGCCACAAAAATGTGCATAAAGTAGACAAACAATTGATATGTTTTTGTATATCTCAGGTTGACAAGAAATGTCCCAAGTGTGGCAATGAAGGTATGACCTACACAACCAGACAGACAAGGTCAGCTGATGAGGGACAGACAGTCTTCTACTCCTGTGTAAAGTGCAAGTAAGTAGATGCTGCGTTTGTATTGGTGTGTTTTTCATCAAACAGGTTGCTTATTATAATCAAAGGCACTAATGGCAAGTATTTTGTATCATAGTGAAACTGGGTTTTATGATTGATAACTGTTTGATGCCATTTTTGAAACTTTCATACTTCTTTTTTTGTTAAGAAAATTTTGAGATCATGTAAAGTGGCTTATGATGGATGTTAAAAAGGTCTCAGAAAACACTTGGATATATTTTAAAAAATGATTGAAGTGAAAGTGACCATGTTCACTAAAGGGAAATAGTGTCAAAAGCAAGACTGGATATTGTTTATAATTGTATGTCAGTCTTTCATGATACTCAACACTTTAGTAAGGGCTTTTATGGTCTTTTTAATTGTATGCAAATGATAGTAGTAAAAAGTTTTAAAATGATGGAAGTCCAATAATTTAGTTGTAAAAAGGAATGTATTTTTTAGGTGCATGTGACATTGTTTATCACATTTTAAGTGTATCTAAAAATGTCCTTTCCTGTGTAAGATGAAAACTTTTTGCATATAGCATTTTTCTGTACAAATACAAAAGGTCTTGTATTTAGATTATTTGTATTTGTTTCAGGTTTCAAGAGACAGAATACTCTTAGAGAGAAACCATATCTGGATCTTTTAAATTGAGCTTCATTGGCACACAATGGCTGAAGAAAATCACTCTACTGTCCCTGAGGTGGAAGAGGAACCCCCAGAGCAAGACATAACCTCAAAGAAGGATAACCTCGGCAGTGAAGCCCAGGCTAACAATATGGAGAACGAAAGCACTGCCATGATGGCAGCTGCGTCAAACACTGATGTGAATTCTGCAGATACTACTGAAGAAGATGGAAGATCCAAGAAAAATGAAGTGGCCTCCAAAGAAAACTGCACCCTGGAATCTACAGGTACTTCTGTCCTACCAAAAGAGGAAGTATCAATAAATAACCAAATTTTAGTCTCAGAAGATGTTCCTCAATGTGTTTTGTCACCACAGGCTCTCTCTTTCAAGGAAGGTTTTGTTAGTCTGCTGCTACCTGCCATGACCGAGGTAGATAAAAGGGTTTTGGCTACCAAGGAGAGTCAGCAACAGCTAAGGGAATTAATAGAGGCAGTGTCCAAGGATTTACAGGTCATTCTGTCCAGTGAGAAGGGAATGGGGGATCTGGAGCCTCATATTAATAAACTGAATGTGGCCAGAAGACGTTTGTTGATTGTTGACACCATCTTGCAGAACGTGCAAGAAAGACTGGTTAAGTTGGGCAAAAAGGCAAACAGTGAAATAACAAGGAGGAGGAACACAGTGAAATAGCTTTTGAAAATTTCAGGAGAAACAGGCAAATTATTTAAGAAAATTAGTTTTTACTGAAATAACCTGAGAGATCTTACATGTTGCGTCCCAAGTGGTTTGATCACAATCATGATGAAACTAACTTTAGAATTAGACATATTGCTGTAAAACTGCATCTGTTGTACTGGAGAAAGGCTGAAGTTGTGACTGGGACACATTGTTAAAGTTCAACAAACACAGTACTGTACATTCATTTGTCAGTAACTGTATTGTCAAGCATACCGCTTTTGGTGTTATGTTCAATTTTAAAGGAACATTATGGTGTGCAAGTGATAAAAAGAAGGGGAATGTTTTCCATAATTTATGCCCCTCTGGTCAGCTGTATACCCACAAAACTACATGAAGATAATTTGTTCATTTTGTATTTTTATCCTTTTCTTTTCTAACAAAATTTTAATATTGTGTTATCATTTTTGAATTTTTATGTAGCAGATTGGGCAAAAAGGAAAATACCGTTTTAAAACAAGCCTCCAAAAAACTTGTTAAGTTCTTCTAAGTTCTTAAATTAACGGATCAATATATTTCAACATTTTTGCATAATTATCTGGGACATTTGTATAGGTCAAAGATATTTATTTCAAACTTCAGGTTTCTTGAAAGGCTTACTCTTGATTTTTTTATCAGGAAAGGGGGCAAAATAATGGTTTCATTTAATGAAACATAATTGGGGGGGGGGGGGTATTATTACCTAAATGTGGCACAGAATTGTACTTCACACCCTAGTTGTCAACCATGCCAATTTCATGATTAATAGCATATTTAGTAACAGAGTTTCAATGGAATCCCATCACTATCTCACAGCAGTTTTACAAAGCACCTTTACCGACTGTAAATGCTTCGCCACCCAGTATGCAGAAGAGCATTGGGAATTAAATGGAACATTTTGAAAGAAGTATTAAATGGAACAATATTTTGAAAGAAGTATTTCCTTTAGAAGTGTAAAATTTTTAATTAATATAAATATATTATATAAAAAATGGCAAATAAGCTATTTAAGCTATTTTAAGGCATCAAAAAGGACCAAATGCTGTTCTGATTTTATTTTGCCATTTCATATTATTCTGATACATGTTGGTCTTGCTACTGAGATATAGCAATTGTAATTCAAATGCCATTTCTCCATTAAGAAGACAGATGAACATGTATTGGCTCGAGTGTTACCTGGGAACTAACACGAGTGAAAGATAGCAATTTTAAAGGTCAACTGATACAGTAGCCATCTGACTCTTGTGATGTTGAGATAATCGGTAAATTATTTCCAAGTACTCCTGTTTTGATGAGTAGGTAAACTAGGAATACCATTGGAAGCCTGTAAGAAAATTTTACCATTGTCAAAGCTTATCAAACAGTTTTGTAATTATCTCCCTTCAAGTCCTGCATAAATTGGAAAAATGTTTGAAATATTATGAAGGATTAGACACAGAATGTATTATTGGAGAGAGAATAAAACTTATATAAATAAATGATAACTAGCATGCATTCTACCACACGCAAAAGCATGATATGAAAGATTTTTTTATTTGTTTACAAAGGCAACACATTTAAGAAGAATCAGAAAAAGATACTTTATGGACTCCAGATGCATTTTACATGCCTACAACATTCATAATATCAAATTTGAACAAATACATGTATTAATCATTAAAAATGCTTTCTACCCAAAAAGTTTCTCAGCTTTCTGCATTAAACTCAAGAGCAAGCCCCCAGGGTATTGCTGTAACAGTTATTGTTAAGAAGTCAAAATGAAAAAAAAATGCATGCCAATTATTCAATTAAATAAACGGCTATTATTATAAATTGTAAATTTACAAATCAAAAAGTATAATTGCAGAAAATGGAAGAAAAATTAAAACATGACAAACGATTTACTGTAGATCTAAAACATTTTTTTGGTCCAGCTGATATGCTAATTGTGCTGGATTTGGCATTCATTTATTTTTTTCAAACATCTATAATACAAATGCAGACCCATAACTTCTTCAGTCGCTCTTTTTGTCTTTTTTGTTTTTGTCATAATAAGCAATGTCTAAGCTAATGCAATATTTGATGTGACTACCACAAAATGCCACCTTCAAAGGATCTCCACATTTTCAACAATTTCATTTAAGCTGCATTTTCACGTTTGTGGCAGGCAGCCATCTTCAGTAGCATGCATCATCAAATTACACTTTTTCTCAGACATATACAAAGCATCTAACTTCTTTTGAAAATAACACACATAACTGTACTTTCTTTCCTCAAGCTTTAAACTTGGCAACATAAACAATAATATCTTCTTTAAAAAAAGTACTGATAAAATTTCTTGGCCATGAAAAGACTGATATTAAGTTTTACATAAGTGTCTGTTCAACTGTACATGCTGTTATTGCATATTGGTTGACACTGGGTCCTGACCATGAAATGAACATTTCAAATTATATAAACAGACTATAAACTTCAATATTTCCAGTCTTAAGTCTTTCAGTATCCATCATTTGACCAGGTGATACTTGTGTAACTTGGGAAGTTCTTTTTCAAGATTCCTGCTGATATAGAGTGGTCTGCTCGTCCATATCCCTGAAAATAAATAAATAACAATTATAATTTTAATTGCATTTGTAAGTGACCTGGTTTTATATATAGCCTTATGCACCAGCTGTTTGAGAAAAAAGGTCAAGACAGTTTTTGGGTTAAAATCATAGCAATCAATCTTTTCACATAAAACTTAACTATCAAGGAAATCTATCACTAAATATTTTACTTGAAAAGAGTCCCTCTTAACACCACTGGTGGGCAAAGGTCGCTTTAGTAGATATATCATGTGAAGTAAGATTTTATCACTAGGATGCCAAAGGTTTGACATAAGTGTTGGACCAAAATATTTTTATCCAAACCACCAAGTCTGTTGTCACAGGCCCGTAGCCAGGGGGGGTTCGGGGAGTTCGAAAGAACCGCCCCTTTTGCTGAGAAAAGGTCCACTCTGGGTAAAATTTGATCTAGGGACACAAAGTTTTTATGGGAAAAGGTCCACTTTTTCAGAAAAAGAACCCCCTTTTGAAATTGCTGGCTACGGGCCTGCGTGTATGATCATACTCTTTCAACTTTTTTTTTTTTTGACATTTCCATCCTAATAATACTTTCTAAGCATAACTGACAATACCCTGGACACAGCCACTAATCATTCTGCACCTTCCACCTGACAACTCCACTCAACATTGCCACATTGTAAGAAGTTACCTGGTTTACATCACTACCCTACCATTAGACACCATGAAAAATCTCTCTACACTGTTCTTCTCTCCAGTGCATACTGTGAACACACACACACACGTGGAGAGAGAGAGAGACAGAGAGAGAATTACTGACAGGAGTACTAAAGCAGATTTTGAATACACTTTGAACACTTTTACCAAGCAACTTCAACTTATTAATTCAAATTAAATTAACTGTATCCATTTTCTTTAATTTTTTAGTTCTGAATAGTTTTCCATAGTTGGATGGCCAATGTATGAAAAATGAAACATTTAAAATAGTCCAATAAAGCTGACATTCAAATTTAACCTGTCCAGTATTTAAGTACTGTCTCACTCCAGTAAGTTTGAGGAAAATATAAAGGATAAAAAGTAGCATGAGAATGATTCAAAAGTTATATGTTCAAATATGCAATTTTGTGCAAATAGCTGGTTTCCTAATGAATGTCATCAAAATTCAATTTTTAGGTCAACATATCTACCAAATATCAGAAGAATACACATCTGAAACATACATACTTTGGCAACATGTAATTTGGCTGGACATTGCACCTCGATATCTACTACTACTGGTAGACCTCCCAAGTTGAACGTGTAACAAAGAAAGAAAAAACCAGACTATGTAGTTAGTTCCCAAAGTGCAACTCTACAGTATAATACAAACACATGCTTTGATGGTACTAAGTATAATCATGTACCAGCCATTTAACACAAATGCTCCTTGAAGAAGATAGGAAAGGTGCATAAATAGATACCTGTGTGTATGGAATAAACAACACAGGCTGAAGCATGCAGTACATGCAGTAATGCATGGAGCACACCAAGCCAACGCCATGATGTAACAAATAAGATAAACAACGCTGCTGGATTAATGAGTTGTGGTTTATGCAAGAATCGAGACTATTCTGCTTTGGCATCTATTACAGGAAATAATACATTAATTCCAGACAGACAGAGGAAATGTGATTCTGTTCACCCACTCCTTGATAATTTTCACTTAGTTTACCATTCTTTACTGTCACCTTGATTAACATAGTCACCAGCTTGGGGATAATTAAATTTGATACTTTTGACTAGATAGACAAACGTATATTTAAAGCTAATTTGTTGTTTGTAAGTTTAGAGCCCTTCAACACAATTCATTATTAAACAAATAAAGCAATATTTGATCACTGCATGGACACTGCATGAAGTGATGATACAATATGTTACCATGATACAGCCTGTATTCCCAACATACAGATATTAAGTATATAGCTAAAGGATAAAAGTAATTCATTTAGACAATTTGTCCAAAAACTCAAGCCATTCACTGCATCAGACAGGAAAGCAGTGTGTTCAGGCATTGGCTTCCAAGAGCTTTAGATTCCCATGGACATTCTGAACATATCTGAACTTAATTGTAACATTTGTTCTTGGTGTGTTTGCCAATCAGCCTTCGGTCATCCAGAGTATCAAACTACTAACCTTTGCTGTACATACTCTGTAATGACTGCCTGTTACTAATTTTTTTCTTTCATAGTAAGACAATTGCCTAATATGTATGCTCAGTATTGTTTTAAGACCCATGCCAATGTTGAAGTTGCAAGCCAGCCACTTTCAACATGAGCTGATGTTGAAAATCAAATTGTCACCCCCTTTTCTTAAAGTTAATAAAATCTGGGACGTAGATTTAGATTGGCCACAGCCAGACATATTTCTTATATACCACCATATTATATTTTAAATTACCCTTCACCCTGAACAAATGTGAAATATACCGTGCATGAAAATAAAAGGCAAAGGGTGCCTATGGATACCTTCACACAAAGCAGTTTTAGATTGATCCAATATATAACAAGCCATGCCATGTGCTTGAATGTGGAGAAGGTTATAGATGAAGAGCCTTTCTTTGGAGGATACTGTTAGTATTTTGGTTTGGTTCCTTTCTAAAGCAGAAATGTACGGAACGACTGAAAGATGTCCCCTTGCCATAAAAATCATCTGAATTTATAATAAAGGATTCCAACCCTGGGCACTTGTCCTCTCGCATTGTGTGCATCTCTGGAAATAATTTGAAGTACTGTAATGAATTTGCAGATTTTAGCTACTTCTTTAAGCCTACTGGATGAATTGAAGTATTTTGGACTATTCAGGGTGCATTCGCTCTTTGCCCTAGGTATTTAATTTGCCAAATTTTGAACAGTAAGGAACAGGCTTCATGTGAAATAGAACCTTAAAAACGACATAAAGGTGGGTGTAAAGACAAATCATTTTCATCCAATTGGCCCAAAAATAATCCACTATTAAAGGCTTTTCTACAGGAAAACATTCTATACCAAGTCAATCTGTCTGCTTTAGTATACACAAAGAAAGATTTTAGGCCCATGCATATATGCACATATGAGGACTGACAGCAATCTCGTTAAGATAATTATATAAACACTTTCCCTACCTAATAAGAAAAAAAGATATCAATAAAGCTCTTGAAAATAAAAGGGGTATATCTTATGGATGAGTTATTCATGTCAGTGGTGGAACAGATGCTTTAACCCTCAAGTGACCGAGTGGGGTCATTTACGACCCCAGCCATATGATTTAATGTGCCATCTCTTTATTTTTTATTCGAGTTTTCTTTCCTTGCATGAATTTGTCAGTCTACTAATCCTACACACTTTCACAGTTTTTTGTAGGGATCAACCAATTAGTGTGGCGTATACATCACAAACTCTTGTGGGGTCATTTATGACCCCAAAGAGAAGCATTGGTTTTTCAATATTAGTTTTTAAATTTTATTCAAATGTTTTGCCCACGCAACTCTGACAGGAAAATGTCACATGCATGTGCTTCATGCAACCAACCAGTAGGCCCAAAACATAGGCACAAATAAGTGGTTTGTGAAGATTGTGCTTGAAGTGTTACTAATAGTGCATCACCGAATCTAGTTTCAGTAGCTTTGTTGGAACTTGTTCTCATTACTGGGTCTCTCATTTTGACTGTTACAATTTTCGGGTATTTCGAAAATCTAAAGAATTCTGTCGATATCATATTATACATATATTTTAATTTTAATTGTTAAAACAATTGTTTGTGTGGATTTTGTTTTATACACAAATGTGGTAGTAACATACATGTAGGTTGATTGGATGAGTTCTGAGTAGTATTACTTCTTTACCAGCATTAGGGTATTCCCTACTCAGCAAGTCAGCTAATTATTATTATTGAAGTTAGCAGGATACTAACTCAACATAAGTCAAAGTATTTTTACTCAAAGTAATTTTGTAATGTACTTTTTTTCATTTAGTGTGGCAAATAAAAAGAGAAATATTTCTGCAAGTGGAAACTGACAAGGACTGTCTAAATACCGGTGTAATGTTGTTCTTAAAATCTGTGCTTGGTTATTTTATGCAATAAAAGTATTATTACCAAATACTTATTACATTAGGTCATTATAAAATGCTTGTCTTAAATCCTGGGAGTAGTATAGGTGTGATAAACCCTCAACAGCCCTTTATAATTGTACAGAGCACAATGGGGTCATAGATGACCCCATTTGGTCATTTCAGTCAGTAAAATAGCTTGGTCTCTTGAGGGTTAAGCACATGCAAACCAGGCAGCATGCCTTTCTCAAGGGGCTTTTTATGTGGTGGTCATTTCCATGGTTGGTTCTTAATTAATATATGACTTTTATCATAAATCAGCTTAATTAACATTATATTATTTTTAAATGCAAAACATTCTGAGATACTGGGAAAAATGTCAATGAGAACAGCTTAAAACAGACCAAGGCCTAAAATTAAAGAAACAGTTTGCTCTCTTCCATCAATCAACACAGTTATTGTATAGAAAAAAGGAGTCCATTTCTACATAATTAACATTACATGTAAAATTGATAAAACTGATTACACTGAAAGATTGACTGATATAATGATTTGATCTTTTCAATGGGCAGACATAATTTTAGAATCATTAAAATTATATTTGTGCATAGCATTTGTGGTGCTTTTACTGTAATATTGGCATAGAACTGTATAGGGTAGTTTTTTTTTTTTTTTTTTTCAATTTTGTTGCTACCACTCAAAAGGACTGTTCTAATTTTAAGAATAAAAATTCATGAATTTAAAAAAAAAAAAAAAAAAAAAAACACTATCTGTAAAATTCACAATTTTCCCCACTGAAAAGATAAACCCAGAAATGACTATACTTTGGAATGAAATCTAAGAAACCGGTTCAGATTCCACTGATATAAAAAATTGATTTTACTGGATTTTTCGTTGGCTTTAGTCTCCTTATAAGTTTTCATTCAAAATACCTAGCTAATAGATACTTACAGATGTATATCTGCAATCATGTCCTTTTTAATAAAGATAAATAAAAAATTCCAAAAGTTCATTCTTATGTAGTAATGTAAGTAACTGTGAGGAAGAAGTGTCCTTAATTAGAATGTACATTTACATTTCTATTTCGAGTTTGAAATCCAATAGTGACGGCCAGTAAATACCATAAAGTAGAATGCATTTAAGGACCCCTCAGCACTTAAATGTTTCATTAATCTTTTTACCATTTTTGTCTGTATACTGTATACTGTAGATACATGTATTTACTAGACCTGCTAAAAGGACAATATATGTGGCCAATGGAAATTACTGACCCTGATTTAGGGTGAGGTTTAACAGCAAACATCTGATCTCAGGAACATTTCACTATATCAAAACAATCCAGGTCATGGTTAAGGTGCTATCAAAGCTGGAACTAATACAAAATAAAATTTAAAAGATCACAAGCAGAAATGCCAAAATGCCATGGGTGTTGTCAACATGTGTACACACTGCAGTTTACTTTTTTCTTTCTTTTTTTTTCATTTAGTCAAACACTGGCCAAAAATATTCTGTTACATCAAAAATGGAAAGCTAACCTGCTATTTATATTTTGTATGTTTCAAAACTAATGCATATCTGATATAAATAAAGTAAAGCTATTGCCTTTACTTTAAAAAGAGTTCACCAGCAACTTTCACTGAGCAAAAATCAGAGACAAGATTTTACCTTAGGCTAAATTATCATGAAGCATAAGACACATAAGCACTCATGTGGTAGCAAAAACAAACCCCACTCACTTCAATTATGATGACATTTACTTAAAATTAGTTAAGAAGGTCAAGTGTCTCATACATCTGAGTGGCTTTTCCATGTTTAAGAGAAAGGAGAACTCAGGAACATTGCCTCCAGCTATCTGTTGTCCATGAAGAACAACATTTCCTCATTGAAGTAATATAGTCTGAACATGTATCACAAAATTGGCAATTTATTTGTGTAGGAAATTTGGACATTGAGAAGCATGTAAGTCTGTGTAAGAACTTGAATAATATGTCCTCAAGCAATATATTTGAGTACTAAGTCAACTGTTAAGGTTTTGGTAATTTTGTATCACTGCTTAAACTCAGCTCAAAATGTATAAAATAACAAATGAGCACAGGCCAATCATGCAATCTTTATGTTCATTGTTGTTGTAGTCATAAATGCTTTCTTTGTTTCTTTTTTTAATTTCCCTTTCTTTTTTTTATTTTCATATATCTTCTCACAGTGATTATAATGTCATGAACACGTATGGGCAGCCATTTCATATCAACAATTTGACAGTAACTTGTATAAAGATTTTATGCTGCATACTGTTTTACCAAGGAATCTACTACTCAAACTACATGTACATGAAGTTCTGTAGAAATGGTCTTCACTGTTGGCTCTCTTGGCTCCAACAAATGTAGTTAAAGTATAATAATATTACAGGTGCTGCCACCTACATTTTGTGACCACATGCTTAAACAGGTCTTTCAAATATAAAAATTTACACATCAAAGAAGCAACCTTGCTAAATACTTATTTCCAGACCTTTAGAATAGTGGGTTATTTGCCAACAATACTCTAAGACCCCATTCCAACAGATTTTAGATCGATCTGTCCCTGTGGGGAGTCTCACTAGATTACTGTCAGCTTAGCTGGCTTAAGCGTCTGTCCCGCCTACTAAAAGCTGTAAGGGGGTAATTAACTGTTGTGTGTGCTCGACTGACTGCAACTTAGCGTGAACCCCAGGGAGTTAGGTCGATCCGGATTGATCGATCTAAATCTCTCGGAATGCAAGATCCACTGCCATTCCTACCTGGGAATGTTCAGTCTAGCATATTTGTTAATGCTTAATACTGTACCTCAGCTACATTAAAGGGATAATAACTCTTCGTATGAGATCTATATTTCACAATAAAAACATTAAGAATAACTCATAGAAATATAATATATTCTGTTTTACGACAAAAACAGCAGTTAACTTATAGCTATTATTCTGATATCTGAGCTTGTCTTCAGACCACGTGACCTCCATTGATGGCTATACTCTGTTATAATCTCTTAAGAGATTTTAACAAAAAATCAAACTTTTTAGAAAAAAAACAGGGACTAACTTTGAATGTGAAAATGGATTTTTTAACCATTGGTAAGTATGGGAAAATTGCTGTTAACTTCAGGAAAATTCATTTTTGGCCAAAACGAGGAGTTATTATCCCTTTAAAATCTTGCCTTAACAGTGCATAAATATTGTGCTTTGAAATCCATTTGGCATACACACTTGGCAAGACATCTTTAATTTGCTTCCCTGGCTAAAGATGGCCCATGTTCTTAAATTTCAAATACAAGTTACACTTTGCAACAAATGCTTGTGCTTTACTTTAAATTTTATATATCACACAAAGTACCCTCTACAAGGGCAGTGCCAGGGGTTTTCTCAGTCTTTTGCAGCTGTTACAAAATTGGATGAAAAACCCCTGTCTGATTTGAGATGATCAGGTGGAATGCATTCCTCACCAGCGGGGACAATTTAATTAACACCTACTAGTAGGTGTTGAGTACCACATATCCCTGTCTGTGTTACATTATGTGTAACGGGCCATTCAGAATGAAAATAGCTGAGCGCTAGCTGGTCTACGGCCTAAATATGCCAGACCTACATGAAAGGAAGACCGCTTAATCCTGTAATGGTGTCTACACCTCTTTTACGCCTCCCCAGGTATCGTCCCTGCAGGGGCACAGTAATTAAATATTGTCTCAATTCGACTGGTCGAGGGACAACGCATGGGGAGGCGTGTGAGAGGCGGAAAGACCATTACAGGATTAAGAGGTCTTCCTTTCATGTACTAGTAGATTCGCCATATTTAGGCCGTGGACCAGTTAGCACTCGGATCTTCTCATTCTGAATGGCCCCTAAGTCCATATAAAACTGAATATTCCAAGTGTCCAGCTGTGTGATTACACTAAACCCAGCCATTTTCTCCTCCGCGCCAGTTTAATTGTTTAGGGGCATGGTAGTTACACAAAAGAAGACAGCTTGATCACCTCAAATCCCACCGAGGTCATTGACTCCATTCCCATTGACACCATCGGTCTATGTTGACTGATCCAGCTGTGCGGGGATTCTCACCGAGTGCAATCAGCTTAACTAAATAACAGGCCTCTTCTTGTTACCCATGCATGCACTCATATCATCACTACCTTTTCTGTAGTCTACTTAATACCAGAAGCAGGAGTGTCATTCAGTTTAGCTGATTGTACAGATTGAGAGTCCCAGCAGAATGGTTTGCATTGTCTTACCTGGGAATAACCAAACACCTGTATGCTCTTCTTGTCTGGATCATGAATCATCCTTCCTCCTCCAACACACTCACAGTCCAGGCCCAAACCCTCTATACTGGGCTCCACTTCGTCATAAATGTCAGCTATTATACAAAAGAAAAATGAATGTGTCAATATAAGACATTTACTTATCTATGTATTTACTGAAATTAATTGGAAAAATGGCTTACAAAAATTGAAAGCTTATCTCAATCTTGGACATAATTCGTTATTATGTCCAAGTCCCAATCCAGAACTCTTCAAACTTTTTACTTTTTTTTTATGTTGTCAAAGATTAAATAATTGGTATGAATATTAAAGCCATATTCTTAAATAAATATATCATTATTTTAAACATCCATGGAGAACTACAAGAATTATCCAAGCAGAAATGGAGTTAGGTAGATGGGTCTTAATAAACTAGGTTTGTATACCCCTTAAAAAAATGAAGTAGCTATGTAGCCATCATATCTGCTGCACTAGCTAATAAGACTGAAAAAGATTTGGCAAAGTTTCCATAATTGATGGATGTTTCATTTATGCAAGCACTGAAAATGATAACCTTGAAAAGATAAGAGAATATTCCACTTAGTTCAATGCTTAAAATTACTGGGAAATTACGGTAGTTTTTTTTTCTTTTCACTTCTGGCAGTTTTCTCAATCTCCAGGGGGAAAACTTTTAATAAATGAGTAGTGATACAAAGCACTACTGTTCAATAGAAGTGATTTACTGGGAATGTATCAAATCCAATTGGCCATAAAACAAGTTCACCACAAATTGGTCTGTCTACATAAATTGCTCTAAAGGTAGTTCCAGAAAAGTATAAGCAATGATAACAGTTGACAGTGTGTGTGAGAAAGGTGATGAATTAATTGTTTCTTGTTTAGGTAAAGATAACTTGGACCACAAAAAGGACCAACTAAAAGCTCAGGAAGAAAGATGCCATGGGCATAAAGACCTGCTTATTTTCACTATTTATTTTATTTAACTTTATTTTATGAAGGTAAAAACATGGTAAATCTAAAATCTTTCTTCCCCTTGACCCTCTTGAGGTCAGTTAAAAACTACCAAAATAACCATACAAGGTATTAAAAATAAATAACAAAAACAATAATAATATTAATAACATTTAAATAAGTTGATTTAAAAGTGTCTGTTGTTTTTTTAATTTAATCTAATTACAAATCTCAAAGGTGTTTGTGCTTCAAATGAAAGCTCCAAATTATTTTAGTTCTGATATTTTACTGGTAACATCACAAAGTATAAGGATATTACCATGGCCCATAGGAGCCTACGCGTGCGTCTTTTAGACACCCCTTTACATGCGAAAACGACAAGGCCTATGCCGACTTCGTCTTTTACTACAGAGCTTTGAGAGCCGAAAATGACATGGCTGTGTCTCCTTCGCCACTTACTGAACTCCATAGATGCGAGATTGACATGACCCATGTCGCGTTCGTCTCTCAAATGACACTGTTATAAAACATGAAACAGCCATGACATGTGTGATTTTTGCAGCTGAATAAGTAGACCCTTGTAAACGAAGTTGACGTGACTTTGAGAGTCATGTCGCTTTCAACTCTTACAAACCTCCAACAAAATCCATCTCCACACAGACGCGCGCGACATGTATATTATTGGACATGGGTCAGTTGAAACCCTATTAACCTAAAGGGCTCATGTTACTTTCAGCCAATTAATTTGAAACAGAAGGACCGTCTTAAAACCTTTTATATTTGAATCCTTCAAAATAAAATTGTAAGGTCATATAATTATTACAAGCAATTAGCCACACTGTTATGTGGATAGCACTAAATTATGATGGGATTCAAATGAAAAAATGTTTTGGGACAGCACTTCTGTTTCAAGTTAATTGGATTTGACATATAAGAGTTGGCTGAAAGTAACATGAGCCCTTTATGTTAATAGTGTTTCAACTGACCCATGTCCAATAGTACATGTTGCGCGCATCTGTGTGGAGATTTTGTTGGAGGTTTGTAATTGTTGAAAGCGACATGACTCTCAAGGTCACGTCAACTTCGTTTAGAAGGGTCTACTTATTCAGCTGCGAAAACCACACGTCATGCCTATTTCATGTTTTATAACAGTGTCATTTGAGAGACGAACGCGACGTGGGTCGTGTCAACCTCGCATCTAACGCGTTCAGTAAGTGGCGAAAGAGACACAGCCATGTCATTTTCGGCTCTCAAAGCTCTGTAGTAAAAGACGAACTCGGCATAGGCCTTGTCGTTTTCGCATGTAAAGGGGCGTCTAAAAGATGCACGCGTAGGCTCCTATGGGCCATGGTAGGATATATCTCACAAAACATTCAGTGTCTTTTATGTTTATATATACTGTCATCTGAAGTGTCTGGGAAAAAGATGCACTTGAACATTTAGGTGCTTTCAGGATGACCTGCTAAACATTTTGATTAAGTGTCTTTCTCCAAGCCAATTAGAAATTCTTAGAATTGGATTTATTCTATCTCTTGGTACTGCAGTTAAGACCAACTTGGCTAGAGGGCCATTTTTTTAGAAACCTGTGTATTAGACTGAGCCATGAGACATTTCAAAACATTTATTGTGGTCTATTATGGTACAGTCCGATAGTATAGTATGGTATGCCATTTATGGTATGGTATGGTATAGTATGGAGTAGTATGGTATGGTATGGTAGGGGTAGCACGGTGTGGGGTAGCATGGTGTGGTATGGTATGGTATGGTATGGTATGTTATGGAGTAACATGGTGTGGTATGGTATAGCACATTTCTCTCTCATNAACATGCAAATCAAAATAATGTACGTTTTGAATTAAGAAATTGGCGGCCATTTTGGATGTTTATACCCTGAACAAAATCTCAAAACAATTTAAATTATTCAGTCATACATTTCATACCATGACCTGTGCAATAAATCCTCCATTTAGTAGTAGGAGATGTTTTATACTGAGAAAGGCTTGTTGACATATCAAAACAAAAAGCCCATTTTATGTGGTGGCCATCTTGGATTAGAGCCATCTGTGTTCAAATGTACAATTTGGTGATAAATTAACTAGTAAAAATTAAAAATATAGACTTCAACTTATTCAAATACATCAAAACATGTAAAATATTCCTAATGTTTGGTTAATAAAAAAAAAATTTCAAATTTAGGTATTTGTATTTTTTTACAAAGAGTAAGGAAAATGGCCGCCATCTTGGATTCAGTCGCCATCTTGAAAAATGTAAAGTGCCTGAAAAATCAAAGAAGGCCAAAGTACTTGTGATCAGTGCAAATTTTGATAATATTAAGTTGTTAAGTAACTTTTAAATCAATTTTTGTATTTACAGTTGACACGTGAATTTACTGGCGGCCATCTTGGATTTGGCCTGTTTCCGGTACAAACGGACACTTTGTCAAGCCGGAAACAAGCAGAAATGAAAAATTCAGGTTCTAAACTACAAGAATCAATCATAAAACCTTTGCCTGACGGGGGGTGCAGCCAAATTGGATTTTTTGGCCTTTGGCTCATGGACTACAACAAAATATAGTCAAAACTGTTCAGTGTAGGATGTAAAATGTGGTCACTCAGTCATGTGACACATGAAGACAAAAGACCACACCTACAGTACTGAGAGGACACACACACCACTGACTTTGATGGAGATAGACAGAAGTACATGACTCTCTAAAATATATACTCCACAATTTATTGACTATATTTTGTTGATCCCAGAACATTTACTTATCTATGTATTTACTGAAATTAATTGGAAAAATGGCTTACAAAAATTGGAAGCTTATCTCAATTTTGGACATAATTCGTTATTATGTCCATGTCTCAATCCAGAACTCTTCAAACTTTTTACTTTTTTTTTTTTTTTTTTGATGTTGTCAAAGATTAAATAATTGGTATGAATATTAAAGCCATATTCTTAAATAAATACATCATTATTTTAAACATCCATGGAGAACTACAAGAATTATCCAAGCAGAAATGGAGTTAGGTAGATGGGTCTTAATAAACTAGGTTTGTATACCCCTTAAAAAATGAAGTAGCTATGTAGCCATAATATCTGCTGCACTAGCTCATAAGACTGAAAAAGATTTGACAAAGTTTCCAAAATTGATGGATGTTTCATTTATGCAAGCACTGAAAATGATAATCTTGAAAAGATAAGAGAATATTCCACTTAGTTCAATGCTTAAAATTACTGGGAAATTACGGTAGTTTTTTTTTCTTTTCACTTCTGGCAGTTTTCTCAATCTCCAGGGGGAAAACTTTTAATAAATGAGTAGTGATACAAAGCACTGGAGTTCAATAGAAGTGATTTACTGGGAATGTATCAAATCCAATTGGCCATAAAACAAGTTCACCACAAATTGGTCTGTCTACATAAATTGCTCTAAAGGTAGTTCCAGAAAAGTATAAGCAATGATAACAGTTGACAGTGTGTGTGAGAAAGGTGATGCATTAATTTTTTTCTTGTTTAGGTAAAGATAACTTGGACCACAAAAAGGACCAACTAAAAGCTCAGGAAGAAAGATGCCATGGGCATAAAGAATTGCTTATTTCCACTATTTATTTTATTTAACTTTATTTTATGAAGGTAAAAACATGGTAAATCTAAAATCTTTCTTCCCCTTGACCCTCTTGAGGTCAGTTAAAACTACCAAAATAACCATTCAAGGTATTAAAAATAAATAACAAAAACAATAATAATATTAATAACATTTAAATAAGTTGATTTAAAAGTGTCTGTTGTTTTTTTAATTTAATCTAATTACAAATCTCAAAGGTGTTTGTGCTTCAAATGAAAGCTCCAAATTATTTTAGTACTGATATTTGACTGGTAACATCACAAAGTATAAGGATATATCTCACAAAACATTCAGTGTCTTTCATGTTTATATATGCTATCATCTGGAGTGTCTGGGAAAAAGATGCACTTGAACATTTAGGTGCTTTCAGGATGACCTGCTGGACATTTTGATTAAGTGTCTTTCTCCAAGCCAATTAGAAATTCTTAGAATTGGATTTATTCTATCTCTTGGTACTGCAGTTAAGACCAACTTGGCTAAAGGGCAATTTTTTTTAGAAACCTGTGTATTAGACTGAGCCAT